TGCAGTGAGTAGGAACAGACAACCTGTCATTTACATAAATAGTAAACAGGACTGGGCCCAATATTGATCCCTGAGGAACTCCATACTTCAGGGGAAGTGCATCAGAGGTAGCATCATGAATGCGTACTTTTTGACTGCGGCCAACAAGATAGCTATGGAACCAGTCATGACTTAAGGATGAAACACCAAGAGCCCGTAGTTTCTGCAGTAGAATATCATGTCTAATGCTGTCGAAGGCCTTTGACATATCGAGTAAAACTAGAGCTGAGATCTTTTTATCATCGATTGCCTGCAAGAGGTCGTCAGTAACATGTAGAAGGGCAGTCTCAGTTGAGTGAAACTTTCGGTTACCACTTTGAGTTTTAGTCGATAGCTTATTTGCTGTTAGATAGCTAACCAACTGTCCATGAGCCAATCGTTCAAATACCTTTGAAAGGATAGGGAGTAGCGAAATAGGTCGATTATTGCACGGATCTTCAGGATCTTCAGACTTTAAAATAGACGTAACCACTGCGATTTTCCATGCCCTTGCAAACGTTCCAGTGTGAAAGGAGTAGTTCATAATCCTAGTGATTGACGGAAGATTTACAGGTAGACAATCCTTGAGTACACGCGCGGGCACTCCGTCGTAGCCAGGTGCTTTGTTTGAAGAAAAGCCTTTAATGACACGCTCAACATCCTTGTCTAACACTGAATGACACTGAAAAGCTTCTGATCACTGATCAGGTAAAGGTTCCACAGCTGACGAAGTAGGATGGATATAAAAATTACGTTCAATTGCGAGGTCACGAACTTTCTGGGCAGTCACACTCCCCACTAACGTAAAATATTCGTTGAATTTATTAGCCAGGGCGGTTGGACTTTCAGTTATTAATGGGCGATTCCGACTTTACCTTGGCAGACAATTATTAATAATCTTCCAGATTGCATTTGTGTTTCCACTGTTCTTAAGTAATTCAGTTCGCACATGGGCCTTTTCTGCAAATCTTAACTCACGTTTAACTTCCTGTCTGAAGCATCTATATGCATTCCAGTGGAGACGGTCGTTTAACCTATCGCTCTTCTATGCCATATGTCGCGGGTTTTCATTAGCTGGCGAATATTATCTGTAATAAAAGGATGTGGTCTAGTTTTTATCTTAATCCTGTTTATCGGGGCATGTTTGTTTAAAACATCCAAAAATAAGGAGTTAAATGTGTCCACCTGATCGTCCAGATCATCAAACATGGAAATCTTGTGGAATGTTACAAATGCCAGGTCCTCACGAAAGCGCTCTGCATTATAGCTGGAGTAGCTCTTGATAGTAATATAGGAGGGCTTAACTCTAGGTATTTTAAGAGTTAAGACGAGGTAGATAAGATGATGGTCACTTATGGAGCAGGAGAGGACGTCACAGAGACTTACAGTGTTCTTATTGGTAGTCATAATAACATCAATTAGAGATATAGTGGTCTCAGTAATCCTTGTAGGTTTCTCAACCAGCTGATTTAAGTTGAAAGTTGAGATGAATTCCCGCAATGATTTAGTCTCGGGGCTAGAGGCCAGTAAGTTGCAGTTTAGGTCTCCAAGTATAATAATGTCCAAGTCCATAAGTAATGCGTCAACAAAGCACTTAAAAAGACTTTCGAAGCAGCTAGTAGGCGTGTCTGGAGGTCGATAAGTATTACAAACTAGAAATGACTTATGACTTCTGCATTGCACTCTTAGCCAAAGCTGTTGAAAACCATCCTCACAAGCCAGTGATAGGTCATCCAGGGCAATAATTTTTAGGTTTAACTTAGCATAGATGCATAACAATAGTTCCAAACGATCGCAGTCGTTCTGGCATCTGATTAGAGTCCTTTTGAGTGTTGTAACACGGACATATACAAGAAGCTCAGTTGCTCGCCATGTTTGTTTGGGCCGTGCGACAGAGCTATGCTCGAGGTGAAAGGTTTCAGTCTCAGCACGCAATGTAAGAGGAGGGGGGCATTGGGCCCTCTGGGAAACCGAAAAACCGGAGAAAAAAACCTCCAAAACCGAAAAACCGACGAAAAAAAGCAGCAAAACCGAAAATCGCACGCAAACCCGACAAAACCGCTACAATTTCACCTTTAAAGGGGTCAAAAAGGAAAAACCGAGAACCGCATCAGAATTTTCGTGAAAACCGAAAACCGAAAACCGAATGCAAAAGCATGTAAAATCCGCAAACCGCTCTGAACATCAAACCGAAAAACTGAACCTTTTTGGCCCAAAAACAGAAAAACCGATCAAAAAAACAGTCAAAATCGCAAAACCGAAAATCCCAAAGCACCCTTTAAGAGAAATCGATCAGATTGTACGCGAAAATCTTACCGGAAGTTATACTGAATACTTTCGCAGGTATCACCACAGGTGGCCCAAGCTCTGTCACAGGCTCTTTCACAGTAAATAATTAAAGTGCGAAAATTGACCATTTTATTTTGGCCTAAATTGTTTTCACAATGTTGAATTGGGTCAAGTTAAGACCCTTTTTGCCGTTAAAAACTCAAAACAAACCTTCGATGACCAATTTTTACCGCTTCAAAGTCGTCCAAAAATCCTCCGCCATCGCTGAAAACATGTTCCAGACGAGCCCGCAAAACGTCATCATGACGTCAAAGACTCAACAAACTTATGCTTTGCTTTGTCACAACTCTCTTTGTTCGCTGCACAGAGAATCACACATATTACTTTTTTGAGAACTGTTTCGTTGTCAGTCGGGAAATGTCAACTTTTTCAGACGATGAATTGTCCCAGAAATCATCTGAAGCTTCTGTGGATAGTTTTGCGCCGACAAACGATGAATTTTTGCCATGCGAATAAAGATAAACACAGAACGGCACGGACTCCCCATGTGGCTTTTGTGGTCGCATCGCTTTATTGCCTTCGAACTTAATTTTTGCTTGT